GACGGGGGTGCGGAGAGTAGAGGCGAGTGAGAGGTGGGAGGGATGGTGGGGGGGGTTGGAAGCATGGTGTGGGTGGTAGGGGGGTGCTCGACTAAAATTGGTTGGGAAAAAGAAGTACTGGGGGGGGAGGGTCGCGGAAGTCATCAAACGTTATTAGGGGGAATCACTTGAGTGAAGTAACATTCAAAGGGCGGATCGGTTAAATTTCACCTTATGGGCTCCTGCCCTTGTTTAGCCCCAAATCCTCCACCCTTCCGTTTCCCCATCCCCCCAGGCAATAAATAATAGACGGTCCCTTAGTAACTTCTGCGAAGCAGCGCCTATAACCTTGTTGTGGGCCCCCAACGGACTCAACGAATTACCGGAAGGGACTTTTGATTTTCCTTTCGACCAGGGCTGAGTTGCTCAAAACATGGTTAGCTTTAACCATTGGTTAAGCAGTATGAAAACCAATACGTTGTCAAGGTATTAAACGCTGGTTAACGCTAACCATGCTTCGAGCAACTGGGCCCTGATTGGCAAATCGACAATGCCTATTTTAACAGGCCAATCATGGCGCGTACTCAAATCCTGGTACACAGTTGGGGGCCCAGAACATGGATTTCGGCGCTGTTTCGCAGACGGACTGAACCAGCTTTAGTTTCGTCTGAGGCGCAGGCTACGTCCGTCCTTATGACGCTATAATTTGACATTTTAATTTGCGTGAAGCGAACTTGAAATTATTTGGTCAATAATTGTGGTCTACTGTGGAAAGTTTGGTCAAGAAATGAAAAGAAATTTAAAGGAGACGAAAATTAAGCCTCAATGACACCTTTGAGGGGTGTTTTTACCCCACAGTGTGACAAGGCCCTCCCCATAAACCTGGTCAAGTGTCATGTTTTCCGGAATTTAGGGTCAAACAAATCACGTGACTTACCGGCATAATATTCGTACTTCGAGCCAGTCCCATCCTCTTTAATTTCAGCTGACATTGTAGCCAGAGTCATTTATCCAAAGGAAACACCCATGCCCTTAGACTAGAAATCCTATGTTACATCATGGCTGTTCATGCGGACAATAAAATCGAATATATAATTTGTGTAAATTTTGCATGAAATAGTTTACACCAAGTGTGATCACTGGAAGTGTTAGGAAGGTTTTTTTTTTACCTCTTTTTTTTCCTTCCTCCACCCGGTCCATGGCCCAATGATGAGCAAAACGTTAATGTTTGTGCGCGTAATTGTTCTGTCATATCCCAACATTAAATAGCGGGGGACGCGGGATGTCTAGCAAAAGAGAAAACCTTTCTTTTTTGGGGATTAAAAGGAACTACTGTTAAGTTGTACAACCTTCTCAACTACTTTTGTCTGGGATTGTAGCTTGGAATCAGGCTCCTTGATAGGTCGGCTGGGGAAAAAGGGAAAAATTGGCAAGAAAAGCGAGTCGAGTGCGTGAGGACTAGAGCAGAAGGAAAAGGCCGCGGAGAGTTTACTGGCCTCTCCACTATTCTATTTTTTCCCTCGCCATCTCCTCGCAATTTTTAGGCCCTTTTCTCCAAAAAGAAAGCCATCCACAGGCTACGCTATTTAACAAGAGTGATCGCAGGATCATGGCTGAATATACGCAATATCAGAGGGACGGTAGTGATCCTGCCTAAGATTTATTGTTATAGGGTCGCGAGTTCTTCTCAAACCTGGAGTTCGAAATTTTTCTGAGCATTCTGCTGTTAGATTTGTCCTTCTTCTTCCAACATAACAGTGTACTTTTCGAACTTTTCATTATCTTACCTACGCATGGGCCGAAAGAAAGGCAGTCAGATAATCACTTTTTATCTTATAATATATAGCACGATGAAGTTGCTCTTTGCGAGATCGCTGATGTCTGTTTGGCTGTTCCTGGTGACTGCTCGCTTTGTGCGCGCACGCGCGCTTTATTGATCGACAAAAAAACACCGGAGGAAGGGGACCGTGCATGTGAAAAACGACCGTGTGCTCGGCATTCACCATGAGATTCAGATACAGCAAGACAGAATAATGGAACAGAGTGGAATCTTGGGCGTTGGCTGGGATATGTATGTATGTGTAGTTCAAAAACACGCGAACTCTGAAGTTCAAACACCGCCCTCACAAATGCGTTTTTCACTGTCATCAATTATCATTACGATCATGTAAAAGCAACGAACCTTGAAACAGAGAAACGCACAAAACGGATCGAAATCCGCCAATCACAAATCACAAACCATAACCTTTCAAAAACCCGTTGAAGGAAACTTCTGTTTCCTAAGAGGTCCGCTAAGATGATTGACGGCAGCGAAAAACGGAAACGTCAGTCGGCTTTTGAACTTCAGAATTTGCGTGTTTTTGAAAAGCGCAGTAACGGAAGTCTGATTCCTGGGACGCCACATCACAGCAAACTTTAATTGTCAAGTCCAGACACGACTTACCAATAAAAAAAAATGCAAAATATTGTAATGGCGACTGTTGAACTCTCTCTCTTAACAACACTGAATAGAAGATTGTGGACCTTTCCGGAAACCAACTTTCGATTTGAATTTATAAGAGAATGTATGAATATAAACAAAATACGTCCTAAATTCCGTTTTTTTGACAAAAATAGAAAAAAAAGACTAATCCTGTGTTTTTGTTTTGTTTTTTACTGTCTCTTCGCCTCTAGTGCCATTTGGACTACCGTTTTATCGATGTTTAAGATTCTGAGTTGTACTAACAATAGGAAATAAGAGAAGGCTGGCGAGTCTGAAGGCGACTAGCCTGTGTGGCAGTCGTTAAAAGGGAAAGGATTTGGGCGCGCGAGAGAGCGCGAGGGAGAAAGGAGTTCCCCTCCTCTCTCCTCCCTCGCGCGCGGTCTCGCGCCCTCAATACCGTCTAACGCCTGCCACGCAAGGCTAGAAGGCGACCGTCCCAGTTAGTCCCAGCTTAGGGCTCGCTCGGGCGTTCTCTCTTAATTTCGTGTAACTTTCTTTAAAACGTTCTAGACGTAAGTCTCTAGATCTGTTTAAGAAAGAAAAGGATAAAAACAATGAAACTTTAACGGAACGGAAAGGCTTCTCTTACGTATACTCTCAAGCATTTCATCACCGTAGTAAAAATATCGCTCACGTTCACACGATTTTTTTCAGCGAAGAACTATTGGATAATTGGGG